AAAGAAAATCTTTTCCTTACAATTTTTTTTTTTTTTTTTTTTATTGGGCTGAACTCCAGGCAGATGAAGGGGAAAAAAATATAATCAGCCGCTTGTTGTTCTCTTCACTGTAGAACACAGAATGGGAGAGGAAGGGGCAACAGTAGCCAGCAATTGGGATGCTGCATGCAAACATGCTGAAAGGAAACCTGACAGGAGGAGATGGCTGTGGGGCCCTCACTGTTCAGTGGCAGGCTGGGGGCAGGGAGGTGACCTGGCTTTATTGCTTAACTGTAGCAGGGAAAGGTCAGATCACTAACCTGGCTCTGTTGTCTGCTGGGAATGTGCAAATCTCAGGACTGGCTGGACAAATACAAATCCTTTTGGAAGTAAAATCTGCTCCAAATAAACATTTTAAGTTGTACCTTTTAGTAGTTTGCCTGGAGTTCAATGTTAAAGGGAATCTATCACAAAGCCAAACTCCTCTGTGGTTGGGCTACAATAAAAGGCGCCATTCTCCGTCTTATACAGCAGTTTTTCTGAGGCAGCAAAGCAACACCTATTCATCAAACCTTTAGAACTAGCATGTGGCACAAATTAATATCACAGATGTGCCGTGACAGAACCCATTAATTATACAAATGGGTGTAACTTTTAGAGCACATTAATGCACAAAGTAAACAAAAGGCCACCATGTAACTGGCAGTGTAATGTACCAATACAGTATTGGTTGGTTTGCCATCTATTTACATAGTTGAATGCATTTAAGAAATGGAGATTAGTCGTCTTTGTGCAATAAAATGCTAATGAATAAATATTTCTACTTGTAGATGCGCAACTTTGTTTCCTGGTCCATCCACTCCCTGCATTGATCAATTCCAGTATCATTTAAATCATAGCGGCGTTCTTTTTGTCTGATATATTTTCTGATGCATCAGTTCCTGACTTTTCCCAATTCATGATAGAAATAGTGGGAGTAGAGTTTTATCTCCAGTTGCCTAGACAAATCTATTTTTAATTGTACTTTTTGTAAAATATTTTTTCGGATGTTACCTTATAAAGATAGTCATATCTATGTTTATATATTTGGGCCCCAATGTTGTGTTTGTAAACCTTTTACTTATTTTGCTTTTTAGGACTATAGACTTTAATTTATTTGCAGAAAACACTAGAACGGCTTTATGTATACATTTTGTACACAGATTCTTCTTTTTGTATTGTGTTACTTAATAAAATATTTTTGTAATCTTTTACATGGATTTGTGTGCAAATTTGAATGACTATTAAAGGCCAACAGTATGTATCTTTTCAGTAGTGATGTACTTCCTACAGTTTCTGTCCCACTGCATAGGCTCTTTATGGAACCAGGAGAGTTCTTTAAACCCTAAGGCCTCATTCACACTGGAATCGGCCGGCACGTACAGCTCTGTGCACGGCCATACCGAGCAGGTCCTGTGTGTGATTAGTACGCAGCCCCCATCCTTCTCTATGGGACTATGTGGCTGTATGCAAACCAGCCCCCCCCCCATGTCAACTTTAACAAGGTTTCCCTAGGAGCTGAATCATCAGGGAGCGTGTGGTTTTGAATGTGACTACTATGTTGTTAAAAGGTTTCCATGGTAGTTGTCAACACAGAGACCTATCAGCACTACCACTGGCAACATTACAGAGGAGATCAGTGTTCGGGTTGCAACTGCACATGCCTAGGATTTAGTACACATAGGAGGGGAGTCAGGAAGTAGCGCAAGTAAAAGATGCCCCCCCCCCCCGCACTGGAAGGGTTAAGTGCTAATTTTTTCCTAGGTTCAAAAATAAGATATACTCACCTGAACCTTCAGCTGTGACAGCCTGTCTCCTCCTCCGCTACAGCCAGTGAGTGAACTACCAGCGGTGCAGCCGCCCCAGGGCCCACTGACGGGGGAGGAGGTGTAGCCCAGGGCCCAACAGCGCCAATATGGTGATGGAGAATGGGCCCCAGAAGCGCCAATATGGTGATGGAGAATGGGCCCCAGAAGCGCCAATATGGAGAATGGGCCCCAGAAGCGCCAGCCTGGAGGCAGAGGCCCAGCAATGGCAGGTGAGAGGAGCTGCGTGTGCAGGGAAGGGGACACCAACCAGCCCACCTGAGAGTGACCCTGCTGAGCCCACCATAGAGAGTCTCGGGTGGGTCTTGAGTCCAGTGCATTACTAGGTCCTGAGCGTTACTAAATCCAGAGTCCAATTCATATACTGTTCTGCATTGCTGTAATGTATTGCTGGGATTTGTAGTCCACCTACAGCCAGTGCCATTCTGCATTAGAGTGTAAGCTCCTCCTGTACAGAAACTGTGGGGTCAAAGATAAAATCTTGCACCAGGGCCCTTGGTTCCTTAGGTCTGCCACTGGCTACAGCGATGGTATGTGCGTCGGTGTCCTCATGTCCTATACACAGTGTATAAAACGTGATGACTCGGATCTTAGACCACTGCAGTGACGAGGAAGTGAGGTAGAAGGGACCGGTCTAAGAGCTAGTCTGAAGATTAGGGGAGTACACTTCTTTTTATTTAAACCCTAGACAAAAACGAGCACTTAACCCTTGTAGTGCAGGGGTAGCCTCACTACAAGAGTTAAGGATTTTGTGTTGTGCATGAGATGTAATGTAATTGCTGAGTGTAATGGGGTGAATAATGGAATGTCCTCTTCATACAATGTGCTGTACATAACATACAACAGACTGCCCCACAGGTTATATATACACCACATCACTACATATCAAGGATCAAGGTGCGGTCACATTAGTAAAAAAAAAAAACAACTACCTTTCAGGCTCCCGAATTCCCAATTTTAGCATCATGTTTGTTTATGAATGAGGGATGCAATTAAGATTCCTGAAGAGATGACGCCCCTGTATTTGTATAATTTATTTACATATAAAAATCTAGAATCTTTAAATATTTCTTCCCACTGATTAAACACGGATCAGTCTTTGGACAGCAGCAGCAGCCAGCAACTCTAGTCCGAGATCAATTATATCCTGGAACTGGCAGTTTGTGTCCGTCTTTGGCTTCAAAAAACGTATACGATAACATAATATTGTCCACGGATGCCATCCTGGGGTCATCGTCAAATTCCGGGTCAATGAAAAAGAACACAGGCATGTCCACTTCCTCGTGGGGGTTCAGTCTCTGCTCTTCAAAACAGAAGCACTGGAAAGAAAAATGTTTAACACAAATGATCTTTTATCCCCGAGGTGAAAAGTCAAATTTAGATTTTTTTCTTTTTTTTTTAATTGAGAAAATAAGAGCACAAAATTATGGTAACAGCTCAACAATCCCCAATATGCAGGGCTTGAAAATTTTTAGGGTTACCAGTCAAAAATGTCACCAGTCAGAATAACCGGACTATAGCCTTGCAATTTATGTTATAATTTTTTTAGTGACAGGTAGAGCTTTTTTTTGGTGGTATTTAACCACTTCAAGACCAGGTGTTTAGACCCCCTTCCTGGCCAGGCCATTTTTCAGTATTCAGCGCTGCGATACTTTGACTGACGTTTATTCCGTCATGCAGCGCTGTACTGAAATGAATTTTATACCCTTTTTTGGGGACAGATAGAGCTTTCTTTTGGTGGTATTTAATCACCACTGGGGGTTTTATTTTTTATTATAATTAGGAAAAATTACTGAAAATTTTGAAAAAAAAACGTTTTTTGTAACATTATGTTAGGAAACATTTATTATTACCCAGTTTTTTGGTCAAATATTAAAGATCAGGTCACGTCGGTTAAATAGACACTAAACATGTCAAGCTTTAAAATTGCGCGCACCCGCGACATCGCAGAAAACGACGGCAACCAAAATTGTCCATAGGCGACACTTTAAACGTTTTTACCGCTCATCAGTTTAGTGTTATCAGTGATTGATGGTCCTAGACTTATTGCTCTCACTCCGACGTTCGCGGCGATATGTAACATGTGCGGCGTAATGGGCGCAATCGTCTTTTTTGCACGTATGCGCCCCCGACGCATGTTTGCATGCGTGTATGTATGGGTGAGGACTTTAAACATTTTTTTTTTCTTTAATTCTTTTTTATATGTGTAACTTTAAATTTTTTGGGGGGGGGGACTATTTTTTTTTTTTTTTTTCACTAAACTTTATCGCTATCACATTATTTAATTACTACTGGGAGGGGGGTTGGTTATTTTTTACTATATAATGAAAAAAGTAAAAAACATTTTGAAAAAACGTTTTTCTTCCCTACATTATGTTAAAAAATCATTTATTCTTACCCATATTTTTGGTAAAATATAAAAGACGGGGTCACGTCGGATAAATAGACACCAAACATGTCAAGCCTTAAAATTGCAATAAACGACCAAACCAAAATCTGGCCATAGGCGACGCTTTAAACTCATCAGTTTAGTGTTTTCAGTGATTAATGGCCCTAAAATTATTGCTCGCATTGCGACGTTTGCGTGTGTATGTGGGGGACAGGGGACTTAAAAAAGTAAAGCAGCATAAAAAAAAAATACTAATTTGTTTTAGTACCTTAACTTTATTGCCATCACATGGGCGTGCTAAGAAGCCCCCTATGTGATGGCCAATTTACATGTCAGGTCCTCTTTATGGAGACATCAGGGGTCTCCAAGATCCCTAATGACCAGAGATCTGCTTCATCAGCTTCTGAAGCTGGAGAGTGACAGCAGAATGCGGAAGTGATGTACTATACAACACTTTCTGCATTCGGGGGGCCAGAGAGGAGATCGTGTACTGATATCCCTTTGATCTCCTGTCACAGAGCAGCTGTGCCGGGCCCGGCCATAACGGGCACAGCGGATCTCGGGAACCGCAGTGACAGCTGCTGCTAATACAAGCGATCGAGCGTCTCTAGACACGCCCGACCGCTTGAATGTAAAGCTTTAGTTACAACGGCCGGCCGGGAAGCTACTTGTCCGGCTCTGGCGTCCTCTCGTCACAGGAAGTGAGGTAGCTGTCTTTAATCCTATTACTATATAAGGAGGAGCCAGCCTCCTGTGTTTGCTTCTTAGACCTGCCTTGACTTAGATTGCCTTGGACTACTCTTTTGCTTGCTGCCTGCCCCTGACCCCGGTCTGTTCCCTGGATTTGAGATTGCCTTCCGAATTTGTACTTGTACTGACCTCTCTACTCAGTTGTTTCTGCACAGTGTTTGTTTCCAGCCTACGGCACTCGTGCTCCTAGTTGCCCTGCGCCCTTCTGTTCCCAACTCCAGGGGGTCGCAGGACACGAATCGCAAGAGACGCCTTCTTCCAGTCTCATCCTCAGGTACGTGATAGCGTGTCAATCGAGGAATCCCGCTGTTTACATTGTATTCTGACAGGTGCCCCCCGCCCATCAGAATACCCAACCAGAGCGGGCAGCTCATTGGCTGCTGGCTCTGATCGATCGAAGATTTTCCGACCGGCTCCATCGATCAGCCCCACGCACTCTTTGAATTTCAGCCAGTTCCTTAAAAACCAGACAATTCGAACAGTGTATGGGCACCTTAAAACAGAGATTTCAGCCCACGTGTCTACCTATGGGCACATGACTAACTGCCTTAGGAAAGTGAAGCTGAAGGTTTTCCAGCTGCGTTAAATATTTTGTGGTTCCCCGATTCGTTGCCTTACCTGTATTTTGTTGAAATATTGTCCAGCTTCATAAGGGATGACATTGTAGGTGGAAACTCCAATGACCGGCTTATCCGTGGAGTTTTTTGCTTTATAAAATGCTAACGCAGTTTCACCCGGAACCAGCTGGATTGAGAGATTAAAACATAAAAAAGGTTTGTAGATAAAAACAAATTACATCACATCCAAAGCAATAAGGAATCTATCATTTATGTGCTTGACACGCTTTCATCATATGTATAGCCTCCCTTTCATAGAGAGGGAGAGAGAGTGCTGCATCCATTACACAAATCTGCATTTTAACAGGCTTGGGGTGACCGCAATTGTTCTATATATTCAATAAATGCTCCTGCCTTAAAGTGACACTAGACTCAGGAGTTCATCCTTAAAAATACATTCAAGTACCTTCATTATTAACAAAAATGTATCTTATTTGTGTATCACTCGGCTGTAGATCCTCAAATCATCTCTGAACTGGTGCTGACACTGTCCTTCCTTCTGGAGGGTGGCTACTTTTGTTCCCCATGGTCCCTGAGTAGTCACCCCTCCAAGCTCACTCCTGTGACAGACTACAATCTCAATACAAATGAGTAAACTAAACAAGAGATTGTAGTCCATCGCGGCAGCGAGCTTGGAGCGGCGACTACTTTACAACACACACTGGGACCATGGGGAACAAAAGTAGTCACCCTCCAGAAGGAAGGACAGTGTCAGCACCAATTCAGAGATGATTTGAGGATCTACAACTGAGTGATACACAAATAAGATACATTATTGTTAAAGGAGAACTATGGGGTTAGGGCTTTTCCCCATAGTTCTCCTAAGGGTAACGGGAGGACACCAACTAGCGTCCTCCCGTCACCCAAAGCTCAGTAATACCTCGAGCTGCAGCTCGCGGTATACTGAGACGCCGCAGCTGAAACGGATCCCGACAATTATGTCTGGATCCGCCCAGCTGTGTGAGTGACAGCTGGCTCTGCCTATCTAGAGGAACAATGCCTGCATCCAATCAGATTGTTCAGGTATTTTGAGAGCCAGCGGGGTCGACTAGCAATATACTGAAGCTTGGCCCAGCGGGAGATTCCTCCATCCACACAGCTTAGTCTAGATGGAAGAATCTGACCATAGAAAACCTGCAGATAATCTATAGGTGTATGGTCAGCTTTTAGTATAACTGATGTTATTAAAAAAAAAATTAAATTATTTTAAATTTTTTTTACTTTACTGCTGGGGGCTTCAGGGAAATATTAGGGGTTCTAAACTATGAACTTAATTTTTTAATTCATTTTTATTAAATATTTAAATTTTTTACTTTTTATGGGCTTCGGGGAATATTGGGGATCTAAACAGTCCCCTGATATTTCCCTTCTAAAATAGATTGAAGACACAGAGCCCTCAATCTCTTTTTCTGCATACCCTGTTATAAATGAACAGGAATCCTCTATACTGAGTGCTCCTGTTCATTCATAACATGTGGATATAGTGTACTTACTATGCCCACAATCATGAATGAACAGGAAGTGATGTGATTGTGTCAGCAAGAGAGGGGCGGGCTGTGGGGGAGGAGAGCTCCGCCTCCTGCAACAGATCAGAGCACTCTCCTCCAAATCACCACTCACAGCCCCGGACCATTCTCCATCCTGACCCGTCACCGTGTGGCGCCTCACTTCATCCTGAAAGCTTCTTCCTTACCCGCTGGGCATCTCTGCGCTGCATCACAAGGTACACAGACTGGTGCCCAGTGGGTAGGAGAAGCTGGGATATAATCTCTCTCTCATATATATTTATATATCTATATATTTGTGGAAATGCAACTGCAGATATTCCCACCTCACATACAACAACCCAAACACAGGTTGCTAAGGCTTGATCAATGGGCTGGTGTGCCCAAAGCTGAAGTCACAATCAATACAAATTGATGTGTGCTGTGTTTGGGATGTAGGTGGCAAGGTGGGAATACCCCCAGTTGTGTTTACACAGTCTCCTGCTACTAGTTATGAGTGCTGCTCTGGATCTACTTCTGGATACAAAGCACCTATACTGTGGAATGTATCCCTTCCCCCTTGGAAGTTTTCATGTTTTACTGTCATAGAACTTTTGATCACAGTGGATTTAATGTTGCTTTTGTTACAATTATGAACAGAGACAGAGAACTTACATAGATCTCGGTTTGCTGAGGTCGGAAGTTCCAGTGCAGGCTGGCGTGCACATCTGCGTTAAATGTGACTTTAATGACTCGATCCTTCACAGGCTCCATAGACTCAATTTGGTCTGAGTGTCCGGCTACTGCGGCTCCACCGAGACCTGAAGACTAAACAACAACAGGATCATCAGTCAACAGAAAGTAACCATCAGTCTACTATAGGGGCCGGTTCACACCATAAACATGCTGCAAGCACTATTTTTGCAGATCGCACTAGACCGGAACGCAGGCACTGATGCGCTAGCGTTCTGGTGCAGGAGATTGCACTGTGGACAGGGGGGCGTGGCTGCGGTGTCATTGAGTTAAATGTACCGCCACGCCCCCTCGTGCCCCTGAACGAAGGAAGCCGATCGGAAAGCGATACAGTGCATTCAAGCAGCTGACCGCTCTGGAACGCACGGTTTATAGTGTGAACTGGCCCTACAGAAAAATGTATTTAATACATAACACATAATACACTAAAATCAAATTTAGTGCACACAAACAGAATATAATACCCAAAATATAAAAGATGGGGTCATATCGGGTAAATAGATACCAAGCATGGTAGTATGCGAGTAGGAATGGAGCAGTTGAGGGGTAGTATAGGTAGGCGCATTGGGGGAGGGGGTGGTATAGGGGCAAGAAAGGCACAGTGGACGGGTAGTATGTGGGCAGGAAAGGAGCAGTGGACGGTAGTAGGTGGGCAGGAAAGGAGCAGTGGACGGGTAGTATGTGGGCAGGAAAGGCGCAGTGGACGGGTAGTATGTGGGCAGGAAAGGCGCAGTGGACGGGTAGTATGTGGGCAGGAAAGGCGCAGTGGAGGGGTAGTATGTGGGCAGGAAAGGCGCAGTGGAGGGGTAGTATGTGGGCAGGAAAGGCGCAGTGGAGGGGTAGTATGTGGGCAGGAAAGGCGCAGTGGAGGGGTAGTATAGGGTCCGGAAGGAGTAGCTAGAAGCATCAGGGGAGGTGGTGGTATAGGGGCAGGAAAGGAGCAGTGCAGGGGTAGTATGTGGGCAGGAAAGGCGCAGTGGACGGTGTTATGGAAATTCATTTGGTTCAACGCACAAATCCATGCCGCATTAAACTGCGCCAAAGTATGTCAAACACAAAGAATTTCCCCTGTGCTTAAAAGCACAGATGTATGGACGCCGGCTAGGGCCCCCGTGCAATGCATGGACTGGAAGTACCCCTTTAGAGTCATGTAGAGTTAGGACACAGGAGACAGGTGTTGCTTGCTAGTTCCCTTCTTAGAGCTTCTGCACAGGTATTTGTTTATTTTTATAGCTCCCCAACAGGAAGTGATGTCAGACAGGAAGTGATGTCTCAAACAGCGAGACAGGAAGTGAACAGGAAACCACAATAATACAATAATCTATGACCACCGGAGTGAACTTTATCCAGCATTGCTCAGTGATCAATGCCCAATAACGTTACTATGATTCTCATGCGTGCTTATTTACAGGGACAACGTCATATTATCGCCAGCGGTTGATCAGGCGCACTAGAGACAACAAACGCACATTCCTTTCATATACTGCGTTCAAAACAAATGCATCCACGCAAGCCAATAAATCCATGCATTGCACGGGGGCCCTAGCCGGCGTCCATACATTCGCCAAGAAGACACTGCTCCGCCGCGCATAAGATATCTACTCCAATGGTTTACTCTTAGTGGGGATTAAACCAGGTCACGCTCCAATTGGGCGTGACGCAGCAAACCCTGACACGGAGAGACATAATGACAAAATATTACAATACACTAAAAACACATCCTAATAAAATTTCCACAACAACGGGTAGTATGTGGGCAGGAAAGGAGCAGTGCAGGGGTAGTATGTGGGCAGGAAAGGAGCAGTGCAGGGGTAGTATAGGGGCAGGAAAGGAGCAGTGCAGGGGTAGTATAGGGGCAGGAAAGGAGCAGTGCAGGGGTAGTATAGGGGCAGGAAAGGTGCAGTGGATGGGTAGTATAGGGGCAGGAAAGGTGAAGTGGAGGGGTAGTATGTGGGCAGGTTAAGATCACTGGAGGGGTAGTATAGGGTCCGGAAGAAGTAGCTAGGAGCATTGGGAGAGGTGGTGGTATGTGGGCAGGAAAGGTGGCAGTGGAGGGGTAGTATGTGGGCAGGAAAGGAGCAGTGCAGGGGTAGTATGTGGGCAGGAAAGGAGCAGTGCAGGGGTAGTATGTGGGCAGGAAAGGAGCAGTGCAGGGGTAGTATGTGGGCAGGAAAGGAGCAGTGCAGGGGTAGTATAGGGGCAGGAAAGGAGTAGTGGACAGGTAGTATGTGGGCAGGAAAGGTGGCAGTGGAGGGGTAGTATAGGGGCAGGAAAGGCGCAGTGGACGGGTAGTATGTGGGCAGGAAAGGAGTAGTGGAGGGGTAGTATAGGGGCAGGAAAGGAGCAGTGGACAGGTAGTATAGGGGCAGGAAAGGAGCAGTGGAGGGGTAGTATAGGGGCAGGAAAGGTGCAGTGAAGGGGTAGTATAGGGGCAGGAAAGGTGAAGTGGAGGGGTAGTATGTGGGCAGGAAAGGTGCAGTGGAGGGGTAGTATGTGGGCAGGTAAAGAGCAATGGAGGGGTAGTATAGGGTCTGGAAGAAGTAGCTGGGAGCATTGGGAGAGGTGGTGGTATAGGGGCAGGAAAGGTGGCAGTGGAGGGGTAGTATGTGGGCAGGAAAGGAGTAGTGGAGGGGTAGTATAGGGGCAGGAAAGGAGTAGTGGAGGGGTAGTATGTGGGCAGGAAAGGTGGCCGTGGAGGGGTAGTATAGGGGCAGGAAAGGAGCAGTGGACGGGTAGTATGTGGGCAGGAAAGGAGTAGTGGAGGGGTAGTATAGGGGCAGGAAAGGAGCAGTGACAGGTAGTATGTGGGCATAGAGGCAGGAAGGAGCAAGGGTTAGTAGAGGAGAAGGTACCTGGCAGTAGAGCCGGTAGAGGGGCACAGCAGCGTAGGACATTCCCACCATACCCACAGCTCCTGCGGTAACGTAGGTCAGGACGGTTCTGTTCCGGCTCCTCCAGCCCTGTCCCGGGCCACGGCTACTATACGTGCGGGAGCCCCAGGACGCCCACTGACCCCGAACCAGACCCAGCCCGGGTCCCCTACAGCACCCCAACCTCCAGATTGACAGCATTGTACGCCGGGAGGTCACATAGGCCGGTGTTATAGAACACCCGCTGCCTCACATCTCGCGAGACTTCCACTCTCATCCTAGACCGGGCGGAGAAGGCTGAGGGGTGGGAGGGGAATGGGATGAGAGATAGTTGGGGATGAATGTACATCATCTATCTCTCAGAGCGGGACTACAAGTTCCAGGATAACCTGCCAGCTCTTACAGAGCACCGTTTATGTAATTCCCTCTATGGTCTGTACCTGGCAGGTTGAGGCTCCATGTTTTGTTTTGTCCTCTCATTTCTTATTAGGAAGGGTATAAGGAAAGCTGAGCCTTACCTCACAGTCATGAGTATGCCACTGACAGAATTCTTTCTCAGCAGGAATAAGAAGTGTGCAAGACAAGCATTATTTCGCTCATTAACATGCGTTTCATAAACTCCTGCCATTATAAGGCCATACTTGGGGGAAGCATGATCGTACGGCACATTTGTGAGCACTTAGCTGTGTTTCTCGCACGTCAGCCCATTAATTTCAATAGGCTGCCCGATGTGCGACAAGCGCAACGCATGCTGCAGTTTGAGCTGCGAGCTTCACTCGTTTTTTGCTTGCTTGTTGCACATCAACACATGGGCGAAGACACATATTGCCTGCTGTGTTTGATGTGCAATTAACATGCAGTGGCACTTTGGCCGGTGTTCTATATAAAGCTCCAACTCATCGAGAGCTCCAACTACCTCACTTCCGGTGCTCAGAAAGACTGGAGCTCTGTAGAGTTACGGTGCGCATTCGCGCATAGTGTTTTCGGAATACTCTTCGAGTTTGCCACCTGCTGAATATTGTTAAAATGCAGCTGTACAGAGCTGTCAGTCTTTGTGTTTTGCAGTCTAGCGCCGCCTGGTTGAAATCTCCAACTTGCAAGTATCGGGCAGTGAGGTAGTTGGAAATTTTGACGAGTTGGAGCTTTCGATAGAACATCCCAGGTTGTAACAGCTCTTAGCAACCTGGCTGCAACGCTCTGGCTGGAAAGTAGTGACCCAAAGAGATGGTGCCTCAGGCTGCCTCATTATAGGTATGGCCCTGTGTGGCTGTGCTTTGTAGTGCAGCCGCTGGTGTGAACCAAGGCTTACGCTGTTGCCTCTGCAAAAAAGTGTTGTCATTGGAAGATCTTCCCTTCATTTCCTTTACAATTTCGGATCTTCCCTCACTTTCAGCACCGGTGACAATGGTCAGCAGGACAAATGTCACCACTAGGGATACACACAGCAATAAAACCGGGGTTCTTACCCATCCCTAATCTGTACAAAACGGATAAAGTTTTGGCTGTAGATAGACTTCATGCAATCAGTAATGTTCTATGTGTTTGTATTCTAGGTAAAGAGGAACTCCGGGGGGTTGGACTCTTACAGAAGGACTTTTCCTGCACTGCAAGGATTAAAGGCTCACAGAGAAAAAAGGACCCCTCAATCCCCAGGCAGCTTGCACTCTCCCTGAAGGCCCCTGCACCTCACAGACATGTGTTTGTTTTGCATTGTATTAGATAGGGATGCACCGATACAAAGTACCGTGCTCGGTACAAGTACAAGTACAGATACTTTTCCAGCTCCAAGACTAGACTAGAGAAAAATTCAAAAGTTAGGAGGCAGCTGTCATTTGTAAGGAGCACACGGAGCTCCTGGGATTTGTACATCTCTGTTTTAATGTATGATTTTGTTTTTATAAATATAAATAAAGGGATGAACAGATACCATTTTTCCAAGTACAAGTACTGATACTTGCCCAAGTACTCATAGACACAAGTACTGATACATTTTTGTTTATTGTCATGTGACCGTTTTTCTAAAACAATACAGACTAATGATTTCAGGACAGTGGTGGAGCGCAAGAGCCAGGTCCCAGCTGGAACCCTGGTAGTTCTCATGAAAATGCCAAGTATCGGCACTGGTATGTGTGCATCCCTAGTAATAGAGACATCAGTATGCAACCACTTCCCAGGAGCACCTTAGAAAAGAGTCTGTGGGGATGGTCATATAGCATGGGGGAAACTAGGGGGGAAGGTAGGTATACAGATTTTTCCTGGTACCCGAGGAAGTTCAGCTTCAAGCTGAACCTGTACTTTTCCATTAATAGGCAATTTACCATGTTCACTCTACTGAAGGCACAGCAAGTATGTTGTACTTCCCTTTCCGTCACTCACCGGCTACGGCATTCCACTGCCAGAGCCAGCAGAAAGTCCTCTGTGGGCTTTACCTTTCTGAAAAGTAGTGTTGATGGAGTAATCGGGTCTATTTTTTTTGCTCAGCCCGTGGATTGAATGAAAAAATTAGATCAGTGTATGGCCAGCTTAACAAGGCGGGGATTTCTGCTGGGACAGTGATCACTAGACAGTGAAGATAATGGGCACACCATCACAGCTATCACCCTTAAAATTAGGTTGGCAATGCTGTTTCTTTATTTCTGTCACATTTTATCCCTAACACATATTTTTCTCTACCTGTTCTTCTACATGGCATTTTGTGGAATGTGGCGGTTTCGGTGATTATTTTAGAGTAGATCTTTCTGCTGTTATCCAGTCAGTCTGGACAATCAATTTTGCTGGAGAAGGCAGCCTAGCATAGCATTGCTGAAGATAACCGCAGATCTGATGGACTATTAATCCTCATTAAAAACATAGTACCCGGTGGAGACTTATACAAGGTAAAACTCATTCTTCTTTATACCATGTCCACATTTTCCTCAGTGTGGATATCTGAAATATGACTACTAAGGTGAGTGCTGTCTCTTCAATCACCAGCAGAGACAAATTAATAGGTTACTTATTAAACAATCAGTTATGCGCACACCTAAATAACCATTTCTCCCCCATGATCCCTTTGCAGACTTAGCTGCAGTTAAGCAACACAGCCTAGTCCTGGATCCACTCAAACAGTTAGTAGATGACAAAGTTATTCCTGTTCTCTACTCCTGTAAGCATGTTCCCTGTAAGTAGTAGAGCTCTGAATGGCTTAGGCCTCGTTCACACCATCTTCAGTGCGTTCCAGCCTGACCGGACCGCAGGCATTAATGTGCCTTGCATTCCCGTGCAGCCGGAGAGCGTGGCTATGGTGCCATTCACTTCAATGGACCACCATGCCCCTCCTGCCCCACAAAAAACTGAGCTGGCTGCAATGCGAATGCGATCCAGTGCGTTCCGGCCACAATCGGGCCGGAACGCACTGAGGATGGTGTGAACGAGGCCTTCAAGTCTTAAAGGAGAACTATGAGGTGAGTGCTTTTCACTCACCTCATAGTTCTAGCCGACCTGTGACAATGAGACTGTCACAGTTCGGCTTAGTAGATCGGGAGGTGAGCGAACACATACCGGGGTTCGCTCACCTCTCGATCCTGTCACAGCTCTCTCCCGTGACAGGGGAGGGGCTGGATTCCCCCCTCCCTGCTCCGATCCGCCAGCGCTGACTGGCGGAACGGACGGGGGAGGGGGTGGGTACAGCTGACTCTGCCTCTAGATAGGCAGAGCCAGCTGTCAGTCACACAGCTGGGCGGATCCAGACATAATTGTCGGGATCCGGTTCAGCTGCGGCGTCTCAGTATACCGCAAGCTACAGCTCACGGTATACTGAGCCTAGGGTGACGGGAGGACGCTAGTTTGTGTTCTCCCGTTACCCTAAGGAGAGCTATAGTGAAAAGTCTTAACCCCATAGTTCTCCTTTAATGCTGCTTTGTAGAGGATTACAGGTGCATCATATCAAGACAGGTTCAGGAACTTCTCTAAGTAAAATACATATAATCCTGTAATGAATACATAACTAATTACATGGAGTGTTTCATGTGTTCCTACTTTGAACTAACTTTTTATTTTCTTTACGCCTTAATATTACATTACATAAAATAAATAATTAGCATACCATTAACCTTAGTGCCTGAGATCTGTAGATCAATGTTCCCCTGCACAATACCTCGTACTAAGGGAACATGAATCTACATCTCAGCAGCTGACCCTGTACATCGCTGCTACTTGTGAAATCCAGTTGTCATTGACATAGTGGCCACATACCAGCTGGAGGCTTCATCCGCAACAGATGCTACTGAATCCTGAAGATGGCAATGTGCCCCTATTTAATGCTGTAACTGTCAGACACAAATTACAGTATTAAATGTGTGTGTGGGATTTTAGGGGGGACCACACTTTTTTGTATTTTTTTTTTGGCGTTGACTCGCGGATGTCAACTGGTTAAAATTCCTACCAGACCTAAAGGGTCTGGTATGAATTGCTGGGGGAACTGCACACTGTTTTTTTTTTTATTATTAGTATTGGTGTGGACTGTTTAACACTTTAGTGTATTCTATGACAGTTGTCAAATTCTTTGTTTACCTTCGGGATCGGAATGTCAGGAAAGCAGAAGCTGTTACAGAATGACACAGATATCTCAGCTTCTTTTTTTGTTTACATTCAGGATACAAGTCCAGAATGTCAACAAAGAGCAGAGAAGCTGGGGAGCTGTAAATGACACTAGGGGCATAACTAGAAATCACAGGGCCCAATAGCAAAATGTTGTATTTTCACCCCCAAACCACACCCACTCCTCTCACTGGCCAATCCAGAGAAGGCTGCAGAAGTCTGACCCCACCCATTCGGCTGTCTCCGCCTACATTGTCTGGGGTTGCGGAGACTGATTGTTACACCCCATCAGCCCGTCCGCTCCAGTTCTCTGGACAAAAGTATAGTGTTCACGCCTTTGCTGGGACCTGGAAGAATTGTCAGACCTGCTTCTGCCCGGGCCCCCCGTCTGTCGAGGGCCCTTTAGCGCCCGCATGGGTTATTATGGCGGTAGTTCGCCACAGAATGAACACCGCTCTCCCGCTTCTTCATTTCGCACCAAGTTAAATTCGGATGTATCAAATTTCCTTATCATACATTCGGATACATTCGGGTTGGTTATTTCTGTCATTCGGAAATTCGTATGTATCCGGATGTCTGAATTTACAGGAATGAATCGCACATGTCTAATAATAATAACCACC